GGGGGGGGGGTCTTCGACCTGAAAAATCAGGGGTTAGGATTTGCACCCGGTCGAAAGAAACCTTGCTATCGCAAGAGTAACTCCAGCTAGCTTCGCTAGCTTTCGTGACTACAACCTCAGTTCATCAAGAGGCCTTCTTCGCATGCTTCTCTAGCAGCAGAGAAGGCGGAAGCAGTAGGTCGCAGCCCAATCCTCATTAGCTATACTTATACTCCAAACAACAAGGCGTCAACAAATTCACAAGAAGCGCGGCAACACCTTCCGATCTTGAGACTGAGCTATGCTGGCTCCAGCATCTCATCGAAGAGCTGCATTGCAACTTGCCACTTTCGGCCTAGTTGCTTCTTGGAGCAAAGGCAATAGCAAGTGCGGCAGCATGGTGGTTGCTGGTCTACCTCCGTTTCCTTCTGTGGCCTACCCTGAATTTGTAAATTGCTACTCTGGCTACCACTATTTCATGAGCAGTTAAAGGCCTCTCTTCTGCTGCTAGCTTTATGAAACTGACTGTTACACGGCCACTTTTGTCACTCCTGCTGGCTGGACTGACCTCTGCTGGAGGCAACAATAGCGGAGGAATAACTTCGCACGCCACCTGAGCACACGAAAGGCCAGCAAACATACCATCTAAACAAAAAAGAGAGAACGAATGGCACCAAAAACAAACAAATCATTTGGTGTTAAAGTGGCCTTGGCCTGGACACTGACAACCTTCACCACTTACATATTGCTGTTCTGGTCTTCAGTTGTGTACGTTAGTTGGTTTGTCTTTAGGCCTTCGGACCTGTCTTTGTCCATTTTTCTCTCTGTGGTTTCTTGGGTTTGCTTTTTGTTATTGGTATTTTCCTTTTGTATCTGTTGTTTAGCTCCGGGGGGGGGCGTGAGGTAGCTACTGACTTGGACGCAGGAAAGCTAACGCTTCTTCAAGGAAGCTCCGCTTGAAGCAGAGCTCACACCATTCACGTGGTTCCTTGGTCTTTTTCTGGAAACTTAAAAGGCTAAGGTGCCTGCTTAGGTAGCCTCCGGCGCGCAAGCCTTCGGCAGCTGACTCAGCCTTCCCGCCAAAAAAAAAATGTGCGTTGCCTTGCAGTGACATCAAAAAAAATTGGACCGTTGCGTCACTGTCACTTTTTCTGCTGGGCATCCTGATGCCTCCTCAAGGCTAGCGCGCTTTCTGCGCAGCACTTTCAAGAAGTCCGCCTCCGATGAAATCCTTGTATATGAGTGAGTGCAAAGCCAATAATATGGAAATGGTGGTGCGCTGTTCGAGACACGACACATCCAACTTCTTGAGAAATCCGCCGACCCCGGCCTAGCTGACGCCTAGGCGGGGCGGCGCCTGGGATACCGAAGGTTGCAACTTCTACCTTCTTGAATTTCCAAAGTATCTACCTGCTTTGCCTTGCAACTTCCACCTGCTTGATGCCCGCCACGACGTTCACGTGCGCCCGCCGGGTGTTCTGGGTGACTGCGCGCGGCCCTGCTTCACGCTGCTGTGAACGACGGCCCAACACTGCGGGCATTGGTGGGGGTGCGCACCACAAAGCCGTCTGGCGCCTATAATGGGAGAAGGCTGTGGCGGGACCAGCCCTCTTTGGGTGCCCTGGACTCCAAGCCCTGTGCGGCCGGCCTTCGCAAGCTCTTTTCTGCTGTTAAGCACGCGCGAATGGTCCGCTGTAGCTAGCGCTACAACGCGATCTCCTGCACAGGTCTGCGTTGAAGCGTTCGTCATTGCCTGCAAAGCACCGAAACCAACACACGCGCGCAGAGATTTATTTGGAATTAGAAAACTGTTTTTATGCCACAGCGCCTACGCGGAGCCTACGCGTCGAACTTGAACGCGCAACTCAAAAAAATCTCTGCTCGTGTGGAGACTGGATCGGCCAAATTACAACGACCAAATCCCCCGCTACAGAACTATACAGCCACTTCCCCCCGTAAACTCTGCGCCTTCGCCTTTGGTTTTGGCTTGGCCGCGCTTTTCGCCTGCGGTGGATTCGCCGGCGGCGCAGGCTTGTCTCCTTTGCCACGCCGTCCACGCCGTCCTGCAGACCTTCAGATTCCACAACTTTCTCACCAAGCGAACATGAACTCAAAACGCTGCGATGCAAAGAGCACTCAAACACGTGAAGCAACAGAAAGTGATCCAAAACAGCTAGGCCCTCGGCACAAGCGTGCGAGATCATGCACAAGCATCAAAGCCTGTCAATCCACACTCACGCACTTCTGCATCAAGCGAGCGCACTTTCAAGTGCCCGCTTGGACCGTCTTGCTCTCTGGAAGGATTTGAAAGTTGTTTTTGTGTCAAAAGCGATTGGTTTGCACCACATGTGACGGGCAGCAACGTCAAGTTCATACATCGAACATGTTTGCTTTGAACGGAGGTAGAAGGCCTGGGCCTACGATGATTCAAGATATGTACCTCAACATAAGTACACCATCCCCCATCAAATGTGGAGTTTTGGGCTCTTGGGTCTTGTCGGGCTTCTTTGAGCAAATCTACAACTGCGATAGCTGGCATGTGTATGTCCAGATCCTCCCAACAGATGAAAGCCCGGGGCTTTTACGCCATGGAGGAGGCTTTGTCCTGAGACTTCGACCGACATCATGTTATCCTCCAAGCAGGGTCTGTTCCTTGCCCTGGCTTCTCAAGCCCCTTGGGAGTCGAAATTATGCACTTCTGACCTCCTGAAGCTCAGCTCCTCCAAGTTTGCTCAAGGAGATCACTACTACCAAAGCCAGCTGTGGCTGTGCCTCTGATCAGCCAGCCCCCTCCAAACCACAGAAAAAACAACACAATTTTTTGACTTGTCAAATGACCAACACAAAGCAACTGGGACCCAAGATGATCATCCCCAATAGATCCTAACCATTTTGACTTCTTTCTATAGTGGTCCATATGATGTCAAAAACACTACTGCCGGAGAACTAGGACCAAGCTAGGGATGGCAGAGCCCAACCTAGCGATCCGTGTGGTTGATCTGCCCGACATCAGCATGCTTGCTAACCAATGCTGGCAAACGGCCATGAATGGTTGTTCCCATGAATGGCGCTTGTATATGAATAATGAGCTGATGTATGTCATTGCATTAAATGAGCTATACTCAAATCCTCCCGCAGTTGAATGCATGCGTCCTTCGATGGACATGACCTGGAGTTAGCTTACAGTTCCCATCACGGCTGAGTCAACAGGGCTTTTCAGCAGATCTCAAACGCCTCCTATCTAGAACTCGCAGGCAGGCTCCACCAGTGCATAGGTTCTAGACTAGAACCTATGCAGTCTGTAGCAAATTGAATAGAATTTATGAAAAATGCACCGTCATCCCAGCGGAATTGCTAATTAAGTGGATCAATGGCAATCATGGGTTCATGAAGGCCAAAGATTCATTATACAACTTGAAGATGCGACGACGCACATCTCTTGCAGCCCCTAACGTGGCCAGCTTTTGCTGCACTTGAAGTGGCCTGGAGGACAGGACAATTCACCAAACCACCCCATGTCTCACCATAAATAGGTGGTGGACGGTTGTAATGTTACCATTTTACCATCCCAAGTCTGGCTGTGTGATAATGAACCAAAAGTGAAGATGGATGGATAATGACACATACAGGACACATAGATCATCTACAATATAATTTACCATGGATAATGACTGATAGATCACATTCAGCATGTTCTTTTGGGCTCCGAACACTCCAAGCCCTCTGCAGCAGGCCTTCACAAGCTTTTTTCTATTGGGCTTCGAAGCTGCCGTTAGGCACCCTGTCAGGCCAATTTTGTTTGTCATTTTTGGTGTGGAATTAGATAGGGGAAAAGCGTGGCGAAGCAGATTGCCGGAAGCCTGGGGGTTGAGTCTCAGGGCAGCAGGAACGGTCTGTGGCCATCACTTGGCTGCTGCTACGCGGCTCCGCGCCTGTTTTCCTATATATAGGCGGCGCCTGGGACACCGCAGGGATGTGCCTTGCAGCCTCAAGAGCAGTCGCCCTGGCGACACTGCGGCTTTGCAGCCTCCAGAGCACGCCTGCAGCTACCTGGGGCTTGTCCTGGGCTCCTCTTTCGGGCTCCGAAGGCGAAGCGTTAAACTGGCCCCGTTGAAGCCTCCAGGGCCAGGGTGTTTGGCCCTGACGACACCGAGGTTGTGGCCAGGGTGTTTCGCCGTGGCGAGACCAAGGTTTTGGCCGTACAATGACGTATAGGAAGTGTAGTGTGTCATTAGATTGCCTGTGAAGATGGACCATATTGAGAAAGACTCGTCTTGTTCACGCATCTGCCTGGCAACCTAAATGGGGGTCGGCGGCACCAGGGCGTTAGCCCTTTCTGATGTGAATGAGACTGCTGCGATGTTGCAGTGAAGCACAGCCTGAGATGTGCCTGTTGCGGAGGAGCGCCGGGCGAGTGCCTGCAACAACATGGTTTGCCTCTTTATCCTGTATGTCCAATGGCACTATATAGACGACATTGGGGCCCCTCATTCAAATAGTCAGTGCTCTGCGTTCTGCCTCTATAGTTTGGGATGTTGGATGAACCAGTGCCGAGTCGGTGAGTAGCTTCTTGTTACTCGTAGCAAGAATGCTCCTAGTAGCGATGCCAAGAGCCCCTAGTAGGGTCCTTGCTCCTAGTAGCGATGCCCTTTGCTCCTAGTAGCATCCTTGCTCCTAGGGTTCAGCACCAGGGATCACACCAGCAAAGCCGGAGAGGCTGCAGCCATTGCAACATGAAGTCGCCAGCGTCGCCTCGTTCAGAGTTTTGACTCCCATACTGGGCCCATAATTCCAAGCATGCCCAAGGCTTCGGGAACGAAGGTTGGGTACCCAAACGGGCATGTTTGTGTGGAATCAAGTTCCGATTAGGCAAAGGGCTAGCATGATGACACCAAGGATTTGCAGGCTTGCCAACCTGCTCCACAAACCCATCCGTGTGCTTGAGGGCGTTTTAGAGGGATCTTGATCTTGGTACCAGGCTTTGCAAGGTGATGCTTGTGATGTGTATTATCCAATTATGCATTTGCTGCATTATCTAAAGCTTGAACATTTTCCACAGGAAAGCCTCACAGAGGCGCTGAGTGCTCTCAGCCTTGAAAAGCTGCAACTTGAGGAACAAGCTGAAGAGTGTCACATCGCATGTTTGCTGGTGACATCTACGCGAAGGCAAGGCATCTTCAGAAGCTGCTCTGCTGCTGGGCCATCTTAAGCCTGAGTCTGTTGACCAAAAACCGTGGTTTGCAACCAGCCCTTGCAAGAAGCCTTCCCACTCAGATCCCTGTCTGTAGTGGCACATTCACTTCTTTGCAAGGACGTCCAGCTGTACTTTCCCTGCCAAGAAGTCTGCACCTCTTATTGAAAATTACACCACCACTCTAGCTGCCTCTCCGAACATAGAGGGCGCTCAGAGAGGCTCTAGAAAGACGTTGGCTTCTCAGCCTAAAGCAAAGCACGCCTCATCGACAATCAGCTGGATCTTGTTTTGTTTGAGGCAAGTGCTTAAATCCACAAAGGTCCGACGAAATGGGGCTGAGAGTATTGACAGTGCACTAACCCTGATACCTCGCCGTGATTTTGATGAATGGTGGCATGAAATGAACATGAAACATTACGTTGAATGTCTTACCTCATTGAAGAGTCTTCGTTAATTGAGCAAGCGTTGAGGCCTTCTGCACTGGAGATTGGCCAAGGCTACAGGCGCTCTCATTTTGGAGATGCGAAGACTCCAAGCGCCACCAAGCAGGACTTGCAAATGAACAGCAAAAAGCAAAAACAATGCGACAAACGCAACAGCTTTGTAAGCAACCTTCTCTTCACCAACCAAATCACACAAACGCGGAAGAATGTAGAAGGCCCGTTGCCTTGCAGCTACTGCTCTGGTGGTATTCTGCCGATCCGCTTGGTTAGGAAACAACAGGCCAACAGGCCCAAGTGAGACATGGGTGAGATGGAAACTGTCGGAGCAAGCAGTCAAGGCTCAGTTCCAACTTGTCTTCTCATTTCATAATTTTTGTTACTGTATTTGTTCTTCGCTGGCTGCCCAAGCATCTGACATCTTGTCTGAATTCATTCTCCAACGGGAGCTATTCTGTTCCAATTCAATGGTCAGATGACTGCGAGTCATTGTCAGACCTTAGCTGCTCATATTCAATGTCAAACCATTCTTCCGGTCTTCCGGATGTCCTCACAGTCACTAGGTTTCTTGAAACACAGTCACTAGGTTAAGTTATCTTGGAATATCTTGAATCCTACGCCCACAGGCCTCACAGGTGACAGTACAATCACACTGCAAAACGGGTGGTTGTAGTCTTCGTTGTAACAGTTGTAGCTGTGGTACTGGCAGTTATTGAAGTGGCTGTTACTGTTGTAGTAGTGGTCGTAGGAGTTCGAAGTAGAAGTGGTACTGGTAACTAGTATGTTACTAGCACCAGTAGATGGTAGTAAGCGTCGAAAAGTCAGAGAGTAAAGGGAAAGATGTTGACGGCCCCAAACCTGTCAAGTGGAGTATTGATTGTATTGATGAGTGCCGGTATATATGGGGTATGCACTTCATTGCTGGGCGTCCCACATACAAATTTACAAGTGTATAATCATGTATAACGTTGACAGTTTCCCTAAAAGCGTAAGTTTCCCTAAAAACCTAGGAACCAAATCATTAGTGCAAGCGCTTCTTCAATGAAGAAGCACGAGCTAATCCTGCGTCCTAAGCAGCAGCTACTCAAGCTACTAGCTACCTCTTCTACTAGCTACCTACCTCCACTCGCGGCCTACCCCCCTAGATTAAGAAACAGAAGAACGTTAACAGGTCTTCAATGTCTTCAATGTCTTTCAACTTTCCAGTCCTCTCCCAGTCCTCCCCAGATTGAGGTGCCCGGGCTGCTGGCTAGCACCAGACTGATGAGACTGCGATACAGAGGAACTGTTGGTAGCTCCACCTTTCGCCTTCTTGCCCATTTTCCTCGGCGCAACGAAAAGCATAAACTTAGAGTCATTCAACTCAGTCATTTTCCCTAGTCCAAAAAAGCAAGAAGCAATTTACGAAAAAGGCCTCTATAAATGTTCAAGGTCTAAAGAATACAGGAGAAAGAATAAAAGAGATTCAAGAAGAAACAATGACCTTTGGGTCGAGTTTCTTGGTTGCTCTCACAATGATCTTCTCAAGGCGATCCAACTTGTCTTCTGGACCATCCCCAGAGCCATGCTCCTCGTTGGGCCAAGGCATTGCAGGTGATGTAGAGCCACCAAAGCGACGAATGTTCTCCACCTGGAGGCAGTATTTCGCACAGTTTTGCACACAGTTTTCTCCTACTACCGATGGCCTCCAACCTACTAGCGATGGCCTCCAACCTACTTGTGATGGCCTGCAACCTGCATTATCGAATGTGACATCGAAATATCACTGATCCGGGTCCCTTCCCCTCCGAGTTGCAGTGGTCGGGTGCTCGTTTGCCGGCTCTGTGACCTGATTGTTAACCACATAAGCAAAACAAGCGATGAAAATAGATTTGGCACCTGAATCCCACCAGCGAGGCCCACATCTCCCTCATTGAACTCGAGGCGCTCCTGCCGGCAGCTGATGGACTCCCGCCTTCATAAACACGTAGCATTCACATCGAAGTTCAAAGCCACGGGCTTCCAGGCAGATCAATCCGAATTACAAAAAAAACAAAGTCAGACATACACCTGGACAACCATGCCTACGAACATGATGCAGCTGCGATGACTTGTTCCGCTTGTTTGCGCGGGTGTAGCAACAGCCAAGGATTCGGCCATCCCCACGACACCGGACGGCGTCTCCTCGAAGCCCAGTGTCTCCAAGTATCGCTGCCATCTTCTCGATGATATTCCGCCCAGTGCAGAGACCTGAAAGGACGAAATTCAAAACCTGATCAGCTGTCTGGACAAACACACGCATCACACTGTTCTATTTACTCAGAATCAGGCAATGATGCTGCCTCGCGTAAGGCGCGCGTAGCCCACCATGTCGTCATAAACAGCTCCGTATGCTCCGTTCAGTTGGGCGACCAACAGATTCAAGAGGAAAATCTCAGCAAGCAGCAAGAAAGTGCACTTGGGGCTTAAGATCACTCAAGTCTTTTCAGCCAAAATTTACTAGAGGCTCGCAAAAAATATAAGGTCCGACTGAGAAGTTGTCATCATTTGAGCCTTGGCCAGAATTAGTTGCTTGGTCTACTTCAAAATTACAGGGGCCGAAAGCTGTGGCAGTACATTTTTTAGCAATTGTGATGTTGCATCTGATCATCTGACATGCTTCCCTCGTGACGCCCTTTTCGTTTCATAAAGTTGATATGTTTATTCAGCCGGTCTTTCTTCAAAGTGCCTTCGTTTACAGAAAACACACAGGAGAAAGGAAGAACGAAAGCCAGTAGAAACAAGTATTCAGGTTCAAGTCATAAGGCAAGAGTCGGTAAGAGGCAAGGAGCAGTTGACAAGGCACAAAGACCAAGAGGCAAGAGGCTGTGTATGAACACACAGCGGCAAAAAAAGTTTTAGTTAAGTTGTTTGGTCGCGAATCAAGATTGGTACGTTTGAGCCCGCCCGACAAAAACCCAAGCAAAAGTTGAACAACCAGTGAAAACAACAACGACGACGACAACAGCAGCAACAACAGCTGGAGGAAAATATCTAAACTCTTTGGCGGGACATGTCGAAACTTTTACTTGGACAGACCTCCACCTAGCAGGTTGTCATGGACAAAAGGTGCCAGGCATTACAAAAGTGAAGGCAAAGTAAGTATATATATATATATATATAGCTGACAGGTTCAACTAAAGTGCCCTGCCAAGGCCTCCCCATTTTGGAATGTGGCGTCATATGTTTCCATAAAGAGGTAGCAGTTATGCAGAAATCTGGATAATTCTGGCAACATCCCCTTTAGCGCAATCTTACAATAATCCACCGGCCCCGGCTTAGCCTGGCGTCTGCGGCACCTTTGTCCAGCCACTCTGGAAAGGGTCTTGCGGGGGCTTGACTTCGTCAACATGGGTTAAAGTGCTGGGCAAAGGCGGAGCTTGCAAACCTCTTTTTACTGGCTTTCGAAGCTGCCGTCTGGGACCCTGTCTGGCCGCATTGGCACCCACACAACATGGGCCAAGGCTGTGGCAACGCACGCCTGCCACGCCCTTGCCAATCTCTTTTTACTGGGCTTCGAAGCTGAAAAAGGGTCAGTGGCACCCGGGCGGTAGCCGTATGGTGTAGCTGATCGCCTCTAGCTTTGGGACCCCCCCCTACGGTCTTTTGCGAAATCGAGTTTTTAAAAATTGCGCTCTCGTTTGGAGCCGTTTTTGCTCGTGGAGCGACTCCAAAAACGGCAAAACGAGAAATGTTGCAAAATCCTTGAGCCTGGTGGGGGAGAGGCCTTTTTGGAGAACTTTGGGATGTGGAAAAACTCGTCAAAAAAGCAGATAAGTTTGACAAAAAAAGGAAACTGGAAAGGAGCTGGATTTGGGCCTTACAAGGACAGCTTTAAGTCTTTTTCGGTTTGCGCCAAGGCGCCAAACACTGTAAATTACAGTGCAAGTAGAAAAAACATTTCGCAGCGCTGCAAAAACTGCGTAAATATCGACGTTTTTGGGGGCGTGGTGAATATCGCGCTTTGCGAGAAAACCTCGTAAATACTGTGGTTTTGAGCACTCGATAGCTCAGAACCATCAGTATTTACGTGGCTTCCTGGCGTAAAAGCACAAAAACTATGCAAATAGCGTGGCTTTGGTGCACTTTTGAAGCCTCAG